ACAGCCTCCCAAGAGCTGGGATTACAGGCACACACCACCATGCCCCATCTCAATTGCCATCTCAGCCCGCCCCAGGGGCGGGGCCAGCACAGCAGGCCTGAGGATCAAACCCCTAGCCCCTGAGCCTACTTGCAGGTGTTTTAATCCACTGAGCTATTTAGCCAGCCAAAAGGTGATATTCTAACTGAGTACTGAAACATCAGAAAATGTTTGCTAAAGAAGGGGGGCAGGGAGAAATCACAACACAGAGGCTATTGGTCCTTGGGATGGAATTCTTGCTTAATGGGTCTGTGAATTTGTCAGAATGTTTTCTGTCTTTCCACCCCTCACACTGTGGTATCAAAGAAAGAAAATGCAGATGAAGGGATGAACAAGGGGCCCAGCCTCTCTGAGGCTTCTCGGCTGTTACTATAGTTGCTCAACAGCTGATGTGTAGGTCTTTGAGGTTTGCTTAGATTATGTATATGAACAAAGGAAACTGGGGCAGGATTTGAAAGTTAGTAACAAAGAAGAGGTAAATAATAACTGAACCATGAAGGTCTTCCATGCTATGCTCAGGAATTTAGTGGTTTTTTTGTTTGTTTGTTTGTTTGTTGTTGTTTCTTTTTTGGTACAGGGAATGGGAATCATTAAAAGAGATAAGCAATAGAGAAACACATATATATGTGTGATGCAAAAGATGATAGGGCAGCTGTGTGTAGGCAGAAAAGGCCAGACTGGAATCAAAAAGGGCAGTGGGTAGGTGACGTCAGCCAGCCAAGGACTGTAAATTGCAGACACACATGACAAAAGCTAATGAAATGGGTTTTCTAAAAGAAATTAAACCTATGCAAATTGAACATGTGTCTGTGCCCTGAGATAATCATGTGTTACGTATGAAATTTTCAAGCGTGTTGTCCCATCGACAAGTACACATATTTCAGCACTGATCATGGATCACACCATTGAAGGAAAAGCAAACGCACTTAATGCTTTCTTTGATCTTGCAACACTGAATGGGGCCAAAGTTGTATTTTGATCAAAATGTGAGTCAGTGTCACCAGTGTGCACTCTACAACATGAAAAACCTTATCTTAGTGAAAAACAATGGAAAGGAGCCCACTCTATCATGCTTCAGTTTAAAACTGTCCTGATTTTTTATTCTTGTGTAAAGGAAATGCTCTGTTTTTAAAAGCAAAATTGCCACAGGTCTTAAGACACAGAGAACAACACCAGCATGAAGTTCATCCTTACCTTAGAGATGCGACTCTCATCTTTCCTCTTGGAGCTCTGCAGTGCTTCCAGGTGGTGGCGTGCACTGTCGTAGTCCACCAGCTTCCTGCTGCGTTTTGCAATACGGTTCTACCAACAAGGAAACACACACACTGAGAAAGAGATGCAGTCCGAGTCTCTCTCAGTGACTAATGCCAAAATTCACTCCTTGTCCAGAAAGCTTGAGTCTTGTGAGTAGAGATGGATATGAGGAGGAATTTCAGTTGGTAAAGGATCCAGGGAAATCAGACTAGCAATCCCAACCTTTGTGTAGAAACCATTAGGGAAGTGACTTCCCTTCTGGCCATAATTAGGGCAACCAATCATGCAGAGTTGAAGGCAGAGGTTGCAATCTAAGACGAGGAAAATTCCAGAGTTATTTTGGGACAGTTGGTAAACCTATACTTTCCATTGGTCTCTATGTTAAAGCTTAAAATGTTCCAATTTAAACATAGTGGGGAACTGCTTTAAATTTGGTTTATGATTTTAGTAACACACTCACAAAAGTTCTATTAAACAGATTTATTTCCTAAGAAAATACTTTTCCTACCAGCATTTCTCAATCTTTAGTTGATATAGACACCTGAACTGGTGTCCAACACAGAGGGGGACACTGCTCTCATGAGCCAGGTCTTTCTTGTGGTCTCCAAAGCAGACAATGGTAAAGTTTGAGGCAGGGCACTTCCTTGCCATGCAGGGAGCAACAAACTGATCTGCAGCTGTCAGGGAATAGACTTGAAGGCCTACTCATCTCAGAGACATTTTCTTTTTCTAAACACAAGCTCTAAGCTGCCATCCTACAGAGAAAAGACAAGACTTGTTGCTTCTGTGCAAGGAGAAGAAAGAAAATCTATCTGGCTTATTGGTACTGGGGTAGTAGGGGACAGAAGTTATGCTAATGTTTAGGATACAGGCCAAGACAACCGTGACATGAAGACAGGCAGAAGGAACAATTTCAACCCATAGGGAAGGAGTATCCTAAGTTCAAGACCTGCTTCCTATTAGAAACACTATCTCCCTGCTTGGACAGGACAAGGGAACTCTTATGACCAACCATAGGTATGATGCTGACTTTGCTTGAGCCCAGGCTGAAAAAGGAGAGCTTTCTATAGCCTGCCTCCAAGATAAGCCCAGCACTGAAAAACAAGCGATTGCTGCTACCATACAAAATACAGCATGCAGGACAACTGAAATCAGAGAGGGACCAGGAATACTGAGAAAAGCCTCCTAGAACACAGGTGCACACCACGCTTGAATCAAATAAGAAGCTAAAAACTAGACTTCAACCCACCCAATTCTGAAACTTTGAAAGTAACAATAGCAGCAACAAAAACCTTATCCAGCTCACGTACTGGATAGACTGTTTCCACTTCCCACATCAATATAACATCAAGAAATATGCTTGTTATTTCCCAGGCATAAAATATTACTTTAGTCTTCACTATCCTATATGTGATAAGATATATTATACAGTCTGGCATTCAATCAAAAATGGCAAAACATGCAAAAACAAAAAATAACCTGTGGGGGAAGGAGAGGGCAAAGCAGTTAACAAAACCAGACTCAAGCATGACTCCCATGTTGAAAGTAACCAGTAGAATTTTTTAACTGTCTATATAGCAACACCCCACAAAGAATGTAACTATTATGTACAGCAAAAAAAAAAAAAAAAATTAAAAAAATGCACATAGGGCTGGAGAGATAGCTCAACCTGACTTGCAAGCAGAAGGACCTGAGTTTGCTCCCTGGTACCACATGCCATGCTGGCCCTGGAATTCTCAGATGCACCGTACTTGCCACTGAAACCAGGCATGGTGGTGCACACCTGTAATCCCAGCACTGGGGAGGCTGAGGCAGGAAGACCACTACAAGTCCAAGCTGCATAGTGAGACCCTGTACTAAATAAATATATAAATAAATAAATAAATAAATAAATGTTAAAAACTTAAATATTTCAGTGGTAATCCCATCAAATAATAAAATAAAATGTGGTAATCCCATCAAATAATAAAATAAAATAACTGCTATTATGCTAAACTATCGAGTTTGAAAAAATAGACAGCATGTATAAAGCAGGTAGGAAACTTCAGCAGAGATGTGGAAGTTTTAAGATCAAATGGAAATAGTAGAATATTTTAAAAACATGATATCAGGGTAAAAATTCTTGGATAAGCCCATGGCAGATAATCTATCTCCCAAGCAGGGAGATAGTGTTTCTAATAGGAAGCAGGTCTTGAATTTAGGATTAGTTCTAACTTCATCAATGGTTGAACCCACTAAGAGTTCATGCTACTTGAGCTACTGGAAGGAAAGGTCTACATGGAGTGTGAGCTCAAAGGGCCTCTCTTTTCTCTAGTTCTCTCTCGTTCTGCTCCCTGGTCACTGTGAGGCCAGCAGTAGCCAGGGCCACATCCTCCTGCCATGACTGTCTCGCTCATCTCAGGTCCACAGCAACGGAAATAGCCCACCGTGAACTGCAAACTGAAACCACAAACCAAAATGAAACTTTCCTCTTTTAAGCTGTCTATGTCAGGTATTTTGTCCCAGCAAGGCATAGGTGATTAACACAGGGCCCATCCTTGGATGAGGAAAAAACTGTACGCTTGAAGATCGAACAAAATAAATTACTTCTACTAAAACACAAGGAGTAGAACGTGCTGGGAAAAAGTACAGAGAATCAGGAGCACAAGACATACAATACAGTAATAATAGTTTAACATAACACGACTGAATTCTCAAAAAAGAGGAGAGCACAGGTCAAAGGAAATGTCTAGAATGACCATGCTGAGAATTTTATGAACCAATGAAGACATCAAAGTATAGTTTCACGAAACTTAGAAAATCTCAGGAAGTAAAACTACCTACCAGACAATGCACATCTAGATCTATCACAGTCAAACTACTTAGCATCAAGAATAAAGAAAAACATAATGCATAAATGTGAAATACCCCTTTCAGACCTGTCACCTTCAAAGGAGCACTGCCCCTTGAAGCAGGGGTGGGCTGTGTATCTAGATGCAAACTCCTACAAAGTACTTTTTTTATATACTTGGTCAGGGAACACCTTTAATATCTTCCAAGTAGTAAATTGTGACCTTTGGAACATGGATTTGATTTTTGGAAAGAGCTGAGATTCAATTACACCTAAGTCTGAGAACAAGGTGGGAGAGTATGCTGGGTAATGTTACTTTTGCTCAAAAACAAGAAGTGAAGTAAGTAATGTGACTCATTTTCTTGTGTTGCTGGGCAGGCAGTCACAGGAGCTCCCTTCCCAGCGTAGAAGGGACTGTTTCAAAGGCCATCATTCATTTTGACACACACACATTTTTGTGCTGGAAAAACAAATCAATGTTATTTCTGTTCATATAGAATATTCAGAAAACAAAACTCTAAATCTTGTAAGTCAGAGTAGCATTAAGGCAATTTGATTTTTAACAAAACATGATACAATCCCCCCCAATACTAAGTTTAATTTAAAAATAAGTAAACTTCTACTAAATTTACTTTACATAATAAAAATTAATTACAGTTTTTGGGGATTTCTCACTGTGCACTGGAAATAATATATCATAATTCTAAAAAGCCCTCAGTTGGAATATCCCCAAACTAGAATTCATTTTGACACACTGTGGTACCTCTATGCTTAGTTGTTTGTGCATGACCACCAAGATAAAGCCTAAACTACATTTTACAATAACTGCGCACAGCTATAAGCCCTCCTGGGTTAGCAACAAGCAAGCTTTTATTATGACATTAATTTTAGATGTGAATGACACATAATGGGGACTGTAACACAGGGTGCCCTGCCAGTCACAGCTGGAAAAGTCAAACATTGTCTATTCCTGAGCAGTGAACAGTGCTTATACCCCTCACAGATGGGCGGCAGTAAATATTTAGAAATCTGGGGTTTTAATTGTACTAGGCCCATTGATTTGCCTGCAAATTAAGGAAGTCAGCTATGTTCCATGTTGGGAAAATTCTGCACTCAGTATTTTTAATCATAATCTTTCTTTCCATCATAACCCATGATTGCATAACCACTCAGCATTCATTTTAGGAAGGGATAGAATCTATACCTACATTTAGCATCCATTCACTGAGTAAAATATGTACAATAACTTAAATCCATTTTCATACAAGAAAAATCTTTTAAATATGGGTCCATAGTTCAATTCCAAATTGTCTCATTTTTAAGTTATGTGATGGTATTTCATCAATGTTTGTCATAGTATGTATTCTCTATTTTTGTTGATAACCTCTTTATATGCTCTGATCTTCTAAATGAAGAGGGAAAAAGAGAGACACAGAGAGAGAAAGAGAGAGAGGGAGAGAGACACAGAGAGAGAAGCTCATTCAATCTCTTTCCACTATGCATGTAAGACTTTGACTTGAGTTTAATTTATATTCAGACTATCTAGCAAAAGTCTTAGATGATATTATTCATAAATCTCTAAGTGATCCAGTAACCTAAGGATATCTTTGTATGTGAACTCAACCATAGATCCCTGGAAAAGAAATACCAAAGTAAAAGTTATAGTAAGTACTTTATCTTTTTGACCTGGAATAGGCTGAAAAGACAAGCAGTATCATCTATCATGATTTTGTCTGCTCTCCCTTATGTTTCAGCACAGGTACTTCTATGTAGTTTGTCATCTGTATTATATTCTCCTAGAAAGTGTATCCAGTTGTTAGATAACTGTCTCTAACCAGTTCCATGGCAACTAAGATCTTCACATTTTGCTCATGATTCTAAGCGTTCATTTCTAAAACTCCACAACTTCCAAATCAATTACAGGTTTCGAGTGCTAAGCGAGTCTTAATTAGACAATTTGTGAGATGTCTTGGAATTTTCTGGTGAGAGGATATGTTTTTTCCTTATCCTCTTCTGATTTAGTAGGTATTGATTTTTATGGAGATTGAATTAACTTTTATTTTCTGGGCATTCAAGCTCCATAAAAATCAATACCTACTAAATCAGAAGAGGAAGAGGAAACCCTGGCTTTTTCTCTCCTGTGGATACCCCAGATCAGTAGCATCGCACAAACCAATTTCCTTTGTACACTATCCAGAAACTAGTTAAAAAGCTCCTGCCATTTGAGCAAGCACAAATTAAAACAGTGTTTGCAAGTATCTTATCTAGTGCAGAGTCGCTTGAAACTGCTCTTTCCTCTGGTTCAGTGCAGAGTTAATTGGCACTAAACCATCTGCTCCTAGCTTTTACCTGGGGAGGGAAAGAGTGGGGCTGTCCAACATTCCAACTTTTCCAGAAGCTTCCCAAAAGAATGGTTTCAACTCTCATAGGCCCTGAGGCCAGCAAAAATTGAGAGGACAGTTGGATCTACCACACCGGTCACTACAACTGCTTCCCAAGCCCAGTGCAACATCTCAGATTCTCTCTGGGCAAAGAAGTAGCAGGATAAGTACCCAACAACCCAACTTTTGGGGAGTCTGCCTGGAAACTGGCTTAGTCTTGCCTGTCTCAGAGCAATTCCCTATATACAGAGAGGGGTTAGTAAGAATAAACAAAGCACACTACACTAGAAGATAGTGGCTGGGCTGAAAGATGAGGGACCTCTGGGTAAGGCTGGTGTATAGACACTGAGGTGATTGTTTTGTCTAAAGTGCAAATAGCAATGCTGAGTTATCAAGGACAAGGGGGAAGCATGAGAAGGCTATTCACAGCCACAGTCATTTGGATACAAAAGGACTGGTCCACTCAGGCTCTTCTGCAGGGCCTCTGCTAGCC